ATCTCTTTCTGGGTAATATGCCTAAATACATAGTTTTGGGTAAATCACGAAGCGTTCACCGGAAGGAGAACGCTTTCACCTTTTAATTTCCTTCATAACGATATGGAATATCTGGCTTTGTGTCAGGACGGCAGACAAGTACCGGCCAAAGCATTCCAACCTCAATTTAACCGGGGGTCTTCAGTCCGAGAGTTTTACAACATGTTCACTGCTACAGGGAGACACATGAGAGATCTCCCTCTGAGTATTGACCGAGAGGATTTCGAACAAGGATTCTCCTTATTCGTATTTAATCTCACTGCAGGGGAAGATGCTGACGCATTGTCCCCTATTACCAGCGGTAGTCTAAGACTGGAAATGAGATTCCGAGTACCGCTGCCCCAGACTACAACTTTAATCATATATTCTTGTTTTGATTCAATTCTGGAGATGAATTCAAAACGTCAAGTGCTGGTAGATTATTACTAAGAAAAATATTACAAAATGAATAATCATCAATTGGACAGTCTCCTGCGGCATATGGGGATTCGTTTGGTGGAGTGTGGGCGTCAGATCAGCTACCCCAAGTAAAACAATTATTTAGATACCCTGTATACATGATTGTAAACACCCACCCCTCCCACATGCCCGGGGAACACTGGCTAGCAGTGACTTTAGAAGGAGACGATGTGGGGACTTTTTTGACTCTTTTGGATTTCCTCCCGATTTCAGTCATTATCCTAAAAGCATTCTACAATTTCTAGAAAAACAATGTAAAACTATTTTACACCACAATCATCAGCTTCGAAATGTCCTGTCTACAGCCTGTGGTCAGCATTGTGTTTTTTACCTGTAAAAGAGCGTCGGGGCTGTGAGATAAATGTGTTATCTCTGTATCAAGATGATGTGATCAAAAATGATGCTGCTGTAACGAATTTTGTGAAAAAATACCAACAGTGTGAGAGACGTCATAAAGACACTCATTTTAACCACAGTGTTTGTTCTCTGCAAATGTTTAAAGATTGTTACAAAATGTAAAAACAAATAAAATAAAAAAGGTCTGGAGACAAAATTAATTCAAATGACTCTGTCTTTATTAAATGGGGAAATTTACAATTTTACTTCGTCACCTTGTAACAAAAGAGCAAGTATATAAAACGTTATTATGGATACTTTACATATTTTGATTTAAAAATATACAACACACACACACACAGACACACACACACACACACACACACACACACACACACACACACACACACACACACACACACACACACACACACACACACCAATGGCTCTCTATACACTGTACACAGCATGTTAACCTTTTTAAACTATAGGCTAAATGACATGATTCATCATCAAGTCTCACCTCTTTCACAAAACACCTGCAACGACTTTCTAATCCAAGCAATGACCGAATCCTGAGGGACCTGCAGGCTATGTAAGGTCCAGGCACACCTCTGACTTCTATCTCAACAACCAAAGAGATAGTGAGAAGATGAGAAAGTCAACTGATGAAGACCAGCTGCTGACCAACGAGAGGAATCAGGAGACGCCGGTCCCAGCGCTGGAAAGCTCGAATGCCATCCTGCTTCACCTGGAGGTATTCATGAGTGTTTGATTCAAACTGTTTCAAATAGTTGAAAAATAGCTGGCTTTTTTCATTGGAATACAAAAATGGATGAATTTCTAATGACAGAATATTTATGTGCAGTTTAGTTTGCTGGATAAAGGTATTGACCTCTGTGCATGTTATTCTTCCTGTAGGTTCAACACCCACTCTCCCATGTACTACAAACGTTTGAACAGCAGTGTCCCGGTGCTGAAACTGTACTTCGGTGATGGGTGACTACAGGATCAGCCGAGACTCCTTGGAGGCCTTGATGCGGTGTCTGGGGCCTGAGAGGAGACAGGCCCGGGGACACCACATGACTGTCTTGATGATCGTGTACTGGCTGGCACACGGTTTGCAGTGTGGTGTCCCGGGCCTTTCAGGTACCCCTCTCCACGGTCCACAGACTGATCCTCCAGGCTGCCTGCTGGTCCAGAGCTGGAGCAGGTCGGGCAGGGCTTCCAGCAGTTAGCCCAGCATTCAGTTCCTGTGTGGGTGCCATTGAAGGGTGCCACATAAGGATCAAGACCCCACCCGGACCCAGTGGCCAGGATTATGCCAATAGGAAGGGGAGATTTCTACAAACTTTCGTAGGATTCCTGGGCTCAGTCCACGACACCCGTGTCCTGAAACACAGTGCCCTATATAAGGAGGCTCTGTACCCTCCTCCAGGGTACTTCACTGTGGGGGATGGTGGCTACCCCTGCATTGTACACCCCATCACTATCACAACTGTGTCCCTGCTGTGGTCACTGCCTGCTGTGTCCTTCACAACATTAGCATTACTGCAGACATGATTGAACTGTTGGAGGAGGAGGAGCAGGAGGAGGACGAGGACGAGGAGGAGGAGGAGGAGCAGGAGGAGGACGAGGAGGAGCAGGAGGAGGAGGAGGAGCAGGAGGAGGACGAGGAGGAGGAGGAGCAGGAGGAGGAGGAGCAGGAGGAGGAGGAGCAGGAGGGGGTAGAGAGGTCTCCACCTCGTCCTGTGAGGGGGGAACGAGGGGGACAGGGCCGGAGAGACAGGCTGGCAGACCAAATCTCAGCTCCTGACCACAACCCGGTCCAGCTGCACGATTACTGCTCAGAGGAATTTCATTTATTTATTTATGTTACCTGTTAGTTTTGTTGACCGATGAAAAATGCATTTGCTGGCCAGATGCATTCCTCTGTTCTTTAGTTTGTGCCATTTATAAGCCTTATTTCCAATTTCACCTTGCTCACGTTTATTTAGAGCAAAGGACTTTACAGACCCGTCTTTATTACTAATTGTTTGTGAAATAGGCCATCACACCATCTGGTCAGAAAGTGAGTTCAGTGAGAACATATTGGTTTGCAGAGTTGGGTGTAACGCGTTACAAAGTAACGCGTTACTGTAATAATATTACTTTTGTCGGTAACGGAGTAGTGTAACGCGTTACTTTTATAATTCAGTAATCACACTACAGTGACTAACATTGCCCCGACACGCGTTACTTCGTTACTTTTATAAAATCAGTCATAATCACACTGACAGACAAGAGGGGTTTCCGCCGCAGGTTTCTATGTACGTAATCTGCGCGACTCGCGAGTTCACATCTCCGCGTGCAGTGCTGCATAAACATGGCTGAGTCAGCGATAACTTTCGAGGGGTGGAGGTATGCCCATTATTTTGAGTTGGTCCGAAGAATAGACAGGAATGTGACGGTGAGGTGCAAACTGTGTCCAGGCCAGAAGCTGTTATCCACTGCTGCAAACACCACGTCAAACCTCAACAAACACCTGCAAAGAACACATGCTAAGGTGAAGCTAATAGCTAAGGACCCCCGAACCCAGAGTGAGGATGTTGTGAGTCGCCGCCGCCGACTCTGAAGCACAAATGAGAATTTGGAGGACCGGTAACCAAAGCAGAGATGGACAGGCTTGTAGCATCCTTCATAGTAGAGGAAATGTTGCCCATTTGCACAGTGGAATCACCATCGCATCGTTCAGAGATATATTGCGCAAAATACAGATAGCAGGAGACAGAGGACAGCCATAGTCAGAGCTATCTGGATCAGTCTTATGCGACAATGGAAACTGAACTAAAGAGAACATTTGAAACTTTAGCAGTCTGCGTGATCTGCCTGTAGGGAGGGGCGGGCCGGCCCTGCGAGTAAAGTAACGAGTAAAGTAACGAGTTACTTTATGGAGAGAGTAACGAAGTAGTGTAATATATTACTTTTTTTTAAAGTAATATGTAATATGTAATATATTACTTTTTTTTAGTAACGACCCCATCTCTGTTGGTTTGCTTTGACTGAACCTTAAGAGAAGAGACCCGTGTTAGTCATTGCACGTATGTAGGGTTTGAGCTATGCAGTAACCTCAATGTGAATCGATATATGATTTCATTAATAGAACATCCCTGATATTGCATCTGGATGCTTCACACGGTTGGTTTCTGCGCAGAATGGTTTGAGGTGGAGATTTAAAAAGCGTAAAGTGGTCATGATGAGTTTCAGTGTGACGATAGACAGTTAGACCTTGGGTTGCACAATGACTTTAAACACGTTGGCTTTTCAGTCATGTCACAATCATAACATGCACGTTCAGCTTTGTGTCAGATAAAGATCTCCTTGTATCTTTTCAGTAAACATGTTTGTTTGTTTGTCTACTTTAAAGAAGGCTTCATGCTTGATGTAACCCTTGTATGGAGTTCGGCTCTGTGGGACCCGTTTTCACTATTTAGCTAAAGAAAAATTACATCAATTATTTGTTCAAACTCGCTCTCAATGGCCGTGGCTCATTTTCTGTGAAGAACATATCAGAACCCACTGTACAGGTTCCTGTGTGTGTGTGTGTGTGTGTGTGTGTGTGTGTGTGTGTGTGTGTGTGTGTGTGTGTGTGTGTGTGTCCGTCTCCTGTCTGCTCTCACGTTATGTTTTGAACCGATCTTTATTTAGTTCACTCTCTATCCAAGCTGCACATTCGGGCCGAGACACAATAAATGATGCTTCTCCTTCTCACAGCTGATCAAGATGGCCAAAAGATTATCTGCTCAGAGAACCATGTGATGATGATGATGATGAAGAGGTTTCAGAATGTGAGGATCACAGTGACTTTGAAGAAGAGGAGCATCAGCTGGTTGAAGTAGGCCGAGCACTTGAATTGATGAATGTGATCTACATGTCAAAGGGCTAATATGAACCATATATGTGTTTATATGGCTTTCTTTGGGATGAAGTCAACTTCTGTATTTTCACCTCAAATAGTTTGATCGTGTTGAAACCCCAAAAGGCAGCGGGTCCACCAGACCCACGAACACTGGCTGATAACAGAAATATGACAGAGGAGAGGAGGAGAGGAGGAGAGGAGGAGAGGAGGAGGAGAGGAGGAGAGGAGGAGGAGGAGGAGGAGGAACAGATTGACTTCATAGACGCTGCTTGTTCTAAATCTTTATTGAACGTATCGATCACTACAGTCTTCAGGATCAGCTTTAATACGTTGCTTCAAGAAAACTTTATTACAGACACAATCAGTGAGACACACGGTAACCAATGAGAAGCCTCCATTTAAAACACCATGTGACCCCAGGACAGGAAGTGGTCTCCTCCTACAGAGGACACAGAGGACACAGAGACGCTGAGGAGTCAGGGCAGACCCCAAACCCAGCGTAGAGAGGTTCAGTGAATGTGGTTCTGAAGGTGTGGAGGAGGATCAGAGAGGAGGAGGAGACTCTGTAGAAGGAGAGAGAGCCAGCAGGATGATCCAGATACACTGCTACTCTACCAGAGGAGGAGGAGGAGGAGGAGGAGATGGGTGTTCTTCTCTTATTGTGCTTGACATAGTAACCACCATCAGAGCAGTACAGACTCCAGGACTGATCATTCTCTCCAAATTCACAGTCCTCTCTGTTTCCTTTCCTCCTGATTCCTCTGTAAGTCACTGATATATGAACTCTTCCTCTCCTCTCGACCTCCCAGTAACAGAGACCAGTCAGAGCTTCTCTGCACATCAGCTGAGACCAGGAGTCAAACCTCTCTGGATGATCAGGATATGGCTGCTCCTCCACACATGTCACCGTCCTGTTGTCCTCAGACAGGATGAGGTCTCTGTTCACTGTGTTTGAGTCCAGGGTGAGTTCACAGGAATCTGATGAGAGACACAGACAGCAGTTTATCACCAGACTCACCTGAAGGCTTTCCTCTCTGTTAGTGATCTTTCTATAAAGCTTCAAGATGTCATGTTCTAATGAATAAATAGCACCTCCATCATCTGTGTCTCTAGAGAGAAGCTGACTGATCCACACTTACACTTCCTCACACCTGGTTTTAACCTCTGCTCTCCACCATGGTCCAGCCTGGAGGAAGAAACACATGTGAGAAACAGAACAGCGTATTGTTAGAATAAAGTATTTATCAATGTTCATCATAATCATAAATCCTATGTGTCCGAAGGGAGCAGGAGGGAGCAGATGCTTATTGATCCCCCTCACTTACTGCTGATCAATGATTATCCTTTCAATCATGTCTGAAAGTTATTCCTACTTACATATTTACATTTATACATTTACAATAATTTCTCCTCTTCAATCTCCTTTCTTCATTCTCATACTTTCCCAAAGAAGTGTTTCTGTGCATCCTTCAAAGCAGGGGTTCCCAACCTTTTTTCCCAAGAGCCCCCCCAAATGACTCCTGTTGGAAGTTGCGCCCCCCCCCTCACACACACACAAGGGGGGGGGGGGGGGGGGGGGGGGGGGGGGCACACAGCGGTAATTAAAGTTTAAAAGTCTAAAAAATGCTACAACTCCTGTCACAAGCTGGATGAATGTGAAGTTCAAATTCAACTGTTTAAAACACATGCTCAAAGTAAGCCGGATTTTGCCGATGTGTTTATGTGGATTCAAAAGTCTTAAATAATCTACAAAATGGAGGAGACCGATCTGATCGGAGCAACTGTGACAAATAATGTGAAACCGGCATGGACAATGACTATGTTTCAAAAATGCGCTTATCCAGAAAAGCCCGGTTTGGACACTTTGCGGGCAGAAGAAACATTTCTATTAAAGAAAGAATTATACATGTCTGTCTTGTTATGCCTTTAATAGCTACCAAACACATCCATCCACCTCGACTCTCTGACGCCTACGAGCGAGCTGAGGTTTAGCACCTTTACGCAGCTAAGGTATAGCTTCTTCCCATTGCAGGAGCTGAACGTTCCAGGGTTAGAGTCCCCAGTGATAGCAGGAGACCATTCTCCTCTCTCCATTCCCCCACCACAGGACCCTCACTCAAGGCAGGAAAGACATACTCGTGTCCCTTTCCCCACTGGTCAGCCAGATCTGCATCCAGAGCAAAAGTCCGGTGGGATGGCGACAGCGACTGCCACACCTCATCTACCAAGTTCTCCAGAACTCGGGTTGATCGAATGCCCGTCACCTCAGCCAGTTTTTCTGTGGAGACCCCCGTCAAATAGCCAAGTTTTACCACTCCCGCTTCAATGAACGCGTTCTTTAGGGTGGCTGAAGAGAAAAGGGTTCCTGAAAGAAAACCAGTGTCAAACAGTGGCTCCTCAAACAGCCACATCCCAGGCCGGGGGTCGGGTGGTCTGGTGAAACTCAGAATCTTCCAGGCATTGATGACTGAGCAGTAAAAAGGTGTAAGTCCAGTTATCTTGTACGCAGGGGCCTTCAGCAGAAAGAGGTGTTTATCCAAACCAAAGCCCCCTGCCCTCCAGAGCAACAGCCGGGCCATAGCCAGCCAGCAGGGAGAGGCACCATACAGCAGCCGCTGAGCTGCCTGCAGTCTAAAAGCAGCAGTCCTTGCAGTAATGTCCACGAGGCCCTGCCCCCTCTCCGCCACAGGTAGGTACAGGACCGATGCTGGCACCCAGTGATGACCCGACCAGAAGAAATCCACGAGGAGCCGCTGCAGTTGTTTCATGAGGCCCGGCGGTGGGGTTAACACCTGGAGTCTGTGCCACAGAGACGAGGCAACCAGATTGTTGGCTACAAGAACTCTTCCCCTGTAGGACAGCTGGGGTAGCAGCCATCTCCATTTAGCTAATTTTGCTTGCACCTTTCCCAGCAATCCCTCCCAGTTCTGTGCCACCATGTCCTCAGACCCCAACCAAACTCCCAGGACCTTTAAACCCTTGTTTCCCCAGCTGAGGTTACCAGGAAGACTGGGCCTATTTCCTACACTCCACTGACCTACCAAGACTGCCTCACTCTTCTCCCAGTTCACTTTGGCTGAAGCAGCCTTCCTATACAAAGCTAAACTGTCCTGTAGCTCCTGGATATCTCGCTGACCCTGGACAAAAACACTGACATCATCAGCATAAGCTGATACAACCACCGGGGGGGCCTGAGCTGACTCTGGCAGACACAGGCCCCTCAGCCGGTTTCTAAGTCTGCACAAAAGGGGCTCGATGGCAATACTGTATAATAGGCCTGAGATAGGGCAGCCCTGCCTGATCCCCCTTTGAACTGGTACAGGTCTGCTCAGCCCTCCCCCCACCTTCACAACACAACATGCATCACTGTACAAACACTTCACCCAGGACAAACAATGCTCCCCAACACCAAAAGCCTGCAATGTGGCAGCCAGAAAAGAGTGATCCACACAATCAAACGCCTTCTCCTGGTCAATAGAAATAATACCAACATTTATATTATACAGTTTGCAAACATCAAAAGTGTCTCTCATCAAAAACAAATTGTCCACGATTGATCTGCCAGGGATGCAATATGTCTGATCAGTACCAATAAGAAGTTCGATAAAACACTTCAGTCTGTTAGCTAAAACCTTTGACAGTATCTTATAGTCCGTACATAAGAGAGCCACAGGTCTCCAGTTCTTCAGCAGGGTTACATCTCCTTTCTTAGGCAACAGTGAAATCACTGCACGCCTACAGGAAGCTGGAAGAGTCCCTTTCCCAAAGGACTCCATCAATACGTCCAACAAGTCATGTCCTAGAATACTCCAGAAATGTTTTAAAAAGTCTGCAGGTAAACCGTCTATGCCCGGAGCCTTGCCGGAGGCCATCTGTGTCACCGCAGAGGTCAGTTCCTCCAGAGTAATGTCAGAGCCCAGGGTCTCACTTTCGGCTGGACTCAGCTGTGGAAGACCCTGAAGAAGTTCATCAGCAGCTTCTACGTCACAACCTTCGGCTTTGAACAGGTCCGTGTAGAAGGACACTGCATGCCTCCTCATCTCAGCAGGTTCAGAGGTTACCTGTCCATCGGGGAGACGCAGACACACCATCTGCTTCCTTCGGCCCACAGACCTCTCCAGGTTGAAGAAAAAGGTGATTGGTGCATCAATGTCTCTCATGGAAGTAAAACGGGCTCTGATCAGAGCTCCCTTGGCTTTCTCCTGAAGAAAACAGTTAAGCTGTTGTTGTTTTAGGACTCGGACTGTTCTATATTTCGAGCAGACACACTCTCTAACTCTCTGATCTCCCTCTCTAAGTGCTCTATAGCTCTCCTAATGTTGGCAGTGAAGTAGGCTGTGTACTGTTGGCAGAACACTCTAATCTGAGCCTTTCCTACCACCACTGACTCAGGGAGGGAAAAGACTCTTTCTTTGATTTCCAGTTGATCCAAAACAATTTAAAATTCTCACAGAAAATCAAATCTTGTAAAATGTGAACATTAAACTGCCTGAACGATCTAGGTTTCTCTGTTGGATAAAACCAAACTAGCTGATGATCTGTAAAATCAACAGGTTGGATGTGACAGTTCACTGCACGAGTAATAAAAGAAGCAGACATGTAAAACCTGTCTAGCCTGCACTGACGCCCCCATCCAGCATTCTCATCCAGGTGTATTGTTTAACAGAGGGATGCTTCATCCTCCACACATCCACTAAGTCAGCCTCTCTTATCACCTGTGACAGTAAAAGGGACGACTGAGGATGCGGCTCCCGTCCTATTCTGTCTAAAGTGACATTAGTGCAAACGTTCCAGTCCCCCCCCCCCTCCAGTATAACACACTCCCCCTGTACACTAGTGTCTAGCTTGTCTTTTAATAACTGAGACACAGATACACGTGCAGGGCCCTGATTGGGTGCATAAACATTAATACAAGTGAAAAAGAAATCTAACAGTTCCACTTTCACCATCAAGGCTCTACCTGCCGCTATCTCTGTGCTGGATCACATCTTAACATTTAGAGAGGCTACTCCAGCACTAAGGTTTGAGCCATGACTGAGTACATACTGACCCCCCCACCACACCCCTCTCACGATATTCATCCCTACTTCATCCGCAGCCCCCGGGGCCCCGGCGGGTGCAGCAGCAGCCCCTGCGACACCGGGTTCCGCGGCCGCGGACCCAGCTGCCCCAGGCTCGGCCGCCCCGGCAACCCCGGGCCCGGCGGCCCCGGCGGCCCCGGCGGCCCTGGCTGCCCCAGCGGCCCTGGGCTCGGCTTCCCCACCGGCCCCGGGCTCAGCCGCACCCGGCGGAGCGGTGTGCCGTCTCTGTGGACATGCAACACGTTTATGACCCGACTCCCCGCACTCAAAACACTTTACGTTCCCTGAGCTCGCATAAACCATATAAAAACCCTCTTCATGCCTCACCCGGAAGGACACATCTAGTGTCTGAGTGGGACAATTCAGAAACATGAAAACCTGTCTCCGCAGAGATTGGACATGTTTTAGCTTTTCATCCTTACACCCCAGAGCAACACTGCGGAGATTACTGGCAAACTTACCGAAACGCTTCAGCTCCCGTTCCAGCGCCTCATTCGGGATGAACGGAGGAACGCCAGACACAGTGATCCGCGTGGACGGTGTCGCCAGCGGTGAAACTTGAATATATTCCTCGTTTAGCATTAATCCGCTCTCGATAAGTTCCGTCACATATTTCTGGTCTTTCAAAAAGACCACGACCGCTTTGTTCATGCGGGAAGCATAGGAGATGTTTACATGACCCACCTGATCCCCCACAGCCAACAACACCTGCTCCACTGTGCTTGCGGCCTGAGCCACCAACCGCACTCCGTGTCTCAGAGACACCGGCGGCGCCCCGAAGGACGCCATCCCCGCCGCGAGGCACGGAAAAACACTAACGAAAAAGTATTAACCGTACTCGCAAAGAGTACAAATATCCCAACGAAAGATCATACAGTTAAAGAAACGATTGAAACAGAAACAAATGAAATAAAAGTGAAAAAACCCTCTTCCCTCTTCAAACACACGATCGACCCTCTGGGGATCATAAATGTCAAACAGAATCTCATCTCAACACATTTAGCAGTTGGTGAGATATCTCAGTCAGAACCAAATTCATAAACTGACCATCATTATCCTCCCTAGAGCCAGTGGTTCTGATGTTTGGACTGAATGGCTGTTTCCATGTAATAAGACTTCAAGGTTAACTCACTGCTGTGAACATAATCAAGGGAAATGAGACGTCCTTCATGATGGAAGACCAGAGATGAAAGAGATTACATTAGAAAAATATGAGGAACCTGCAGTCAGTCTGTCCATACCTGAGAGTGTCCAGTCTCCAGAGTGGATCCTCCAGTCCAGCAGAAAGCCGCTTCTCTCCTGAGTCTCCTGGATGATTGTAGCTCAGGTCCAGCTCTCTCAGATGGGAGGGGTTGGATCTCAGAGCTGAAGCCAGAGAAACACAGCCTTCCTCTGTGACCAGACAGCCTGACAGTCTGGAACCAGGGAATACAGTAAACTCAGTGCTTTAAAAAGTCACATGAGCAGGAACATCAGAGGTGGACCATCTTCATCAACATGAACAAAAAGCTGGATGACAATAATTGAATTGTTTGAAAAGAAAAAGCTGAACTCTGACCTGAGAGTCTCCAGTTTACAGTGTGGACTCTCCAGTCCAGCAGACAGCAGCTTCCCTCCTGAATCCTGCAGGTCGTTGTTACTCAGGTCCAGATCTCTCAGACTAGAGGACTGCGAGCTGAGGACTGAGGACAGAGCTTCACAGCTTCTCTCTGACAGGTTGCAGCCAGTTAATCTTGAAAGAAAGGAATAAATATGACAACATTCCTTTAAAGTGGACCTATCATGCTATATTTGAACAATATATTGTAGGGCCATGCCTATATAAAACATGTCTGCGAAGTTTATTTTTCAAAATACCAAACAGATCATGCATTTTAGCCATGCCTCATTTCGCTCTATTTGCTCTTTTCCAGCCCTGTTTTTGCAGGGTCTGATTCTGTGACGTAGCTTTAATGCAAATGAGCTGCAGCTGGCCACGCCCCCCTGCAGGAGAGGGGAGCCGTGCTCTGATCAGCTGCTGGGCTGTCAGAAGAGGGGGAGAAAAAGAGATCTCCGTCCTCCGTGTTTTATTATATAGAGTCGTTATTCATTTGTTTTAAAGCTCAATAAATCACAAAGAAGACCTTTGACCGGCACTTTTCTAATTTTGTCTGGAAGATTTAAACTTTAACGGACATCTTGACCGGCGAAAGAAACTGAAACTGAAACTCTGCCGCACGGTCCCCTCGTTCCTTGGAAGAGGCGGAGAGGTGGGTGTTTGTCATCTGCTGGTGGACTAACCGGAGAGAATTACAGTGCTTGCCTCGACGGGGAGGGATTGCATTGAATTAAAGCAGCGGGAGCAAACGCTTGCCTCGGGGAGGGAGAAAGAAAGCCACAGCGGAGAATAAACAGAAGGGTAACCATGGTAACTACTGGCGGGAAGTCTTCTTCGCTGCTTTTGTGGCAGACTACAGCGCCACTTACAGGCCTGGCATATGTACTACAGCGTCTCCAGCGCTTTCGAGCGGCAATGGCCGGCCGTGGCCCAACCCCACATTCCCCTGATAGGTGGAGAGTTGGCCATATAGGCGGAGCTCCTCGTTCCTGACGTCAGAGAATTTTCAAATCTGTATAAGTTTTTATCAGATCCGTTGCAGCCCCGTTTTTAGAGATTTGGGAATGGAGGAAAAGAGAGGGTTGTGTTTTCTGACACTTGGTGAGTTCCCTGACACACCGGGCACCGTTTTCATGTATAAAAGACGTACAAAAGTGCATTTTGCATGATAGGTCCCCTTTAATATTAAATGTGATTGAGCGCAAGGTTTCAATCATACAATATTTTCTAGTTCCTTTGTCAAATGATACCATCTGTTTGTCTGTTTGTGTTTGTCAATCAGTCAGATACATTGAGATGTAGATAAGTGACGCCATCTGTCTTCAAATATTATAAGATTGTTATCATGGTTTTGTGGTTAATTGTTTTGAAGAACAAAAATAAACAACAAGCCAAAGGAAAATCGAAATGTATTATTATTCTAATTTGATCAAACTGGAAATTAGTCAATAGAAATGGTTGAACAAAACCAATCTGACAGTTAACATATCGGCTGAAATCTGACCTGAGAGTCTCCAGAGTACATAGTAATAGTAATGTAAATTATAGTGTCCGTCCAAAAATAAACCATTACTTATCGCGGGGAAGTCCCTAAAATCCATCTAAACATTACCCATTGGTGAATGAGTGATGCATAGCCAGAAGGCCCAAAACCGGAAAATGTCATACACTCTGGTAGCTATCATAGCAGCTATATATGAAAACTCCGTTTTTGACATAAATATGATGATGGATTATCAGTAATCATTTCAAAGTGACACAGAAGCATTGGATTAACCTATGGATTAACCTTCAGCCGCGTTTTTCTCGTTTTAATGCCATTGAACACGACTTTTGATCAGAATAACAGCTAAGGTAAGACAATGTCCCGTGTTTGCTCCGTAAAGCTACGTGGTGTGATGTTTGGGTTTGCTTCCCCTGTCACGGGTTTTGATCGCTCAGTGATGATACTTATATTTCTGGAATCTGTGGAATCTCAGCTTGCTAATCGATATCTTGTTTTTGCAGATCCGATAAGTAATAAGGGTATTTTACCGTGAGTTCTGTGCTAAGTGTGTTAGCATTTTTTCGCTCAGGGCTCATTTAGACCCGGGGTTCCCAACCCCCGGTCCGCGGACCGGTACCGGGCCGCGGAGGTGTTACTGCCGGGCCGCGAAATAGCTGTGAGTTTATCGTAATATTTGCAGAATTATAAATATATAAAAATATTTTATCATAATATTATAATAATTTTCGCACCTATGCCACCAGTCATATTATTTCATCCAGTAGCTAGTTCATCTTTCACCAGAAAACCGTTGAAAATGGCTTTTATGATGTCCCGAGGGATTCGGCGGCTCAGCCTAAAGGTCTCAGCCTCTTGTGCGCACGAGCATGTTACCGGTGCGCCAAGTAGGAAGAGGAGCGCACAGGAGACAACCGTTTGATTGCAGACTGTTATGTTTATGTGGGGAAATGGTGGTGCATACATTATTTGAGATATATTTCAAACTCGGACTTCATTTTAAGGACATGTCGGCCAGGGGTGTAGAGCTATTTGTTTAAGCACCGGATTGGCAAAACAGGAGAGTAAACCAGTCTGCCTTGATCTATGGATTAATGTCCGGGACTCTCACGGTATCTGCTGCCCGCAGCTGTTTTATAGAAGGAAACCCTCCTTCACTTCATGAAATGGCTGCAGCATCAGGAGGCAGCGGGACGTATACTCGGTAAAGAGCTGTGCCTTTTTACGCACCGCCTTCGCTGTGTTTAACTTAATCAGAACAGTTTAAGAGTGACTGCAGGCTGCTACGTGTTAACCACACACACATCTACACACATCGAACTGCCCGATTACTCCCCCTTTTATTAGTTTTATGAAGGAGATGTCCAGTCAGTAACCAAGGCGCATGATGTGTGTGTGCTCTGCTCAGCTCTGTGTGTTCGGTGAGTTTGTGTCTGTCCGACACCGGCATATATGCGGCTGTTCCCAAAATAAATTAGTTTAATCTTAATCTCGATGTAGTGCTAAATGCTGTCGGGAGTGCACCGGAACGAACGACACTATCATAATATCTTCTGAAAACAAATGCCAGTGCCAGTCACACACACACACACACACACACACACACACACACACACACACACACACACACACACACACACACACACACACACACACACACACACACACACACACACACACACACACGACCGGACATCTCCTTCATAATGCGCCTTCTCCTCGTTTTCCCAGCATTCATTGGATTATCCGTAAACCATACAAACAAAACCAAAATGTTAATTTATCTGTTTTCCCGTTTTGGTTTAAAAACTGAATAACGTCGGTTTTAAAACCAAAAAACAACACCGGTTCTTTTTTAAACTTTGTTAATATGTTTTGGATGCATATTGTTCTAGTATTTGTTCAGGCTGTTACATACAATTAGTCTCTGTTGCTACCTGCTGGTGGTGAGTAAATATTAAAATCAGTTAAAATTGACAACCGGTACGCGATTTTTTTTTAAGGTAACTACCGGTCCTTGGCACAATAAAGGTTGGGAACCCCTGATTTAGACGATTCTTGTGAGACTTGTGTTTTGTTTCGGTAAAAATGGTTTGTATCGTCAGTTAGATGAGTTTCTTCCCGTTAAGTGGGTATGACACATTAATAGGCTTTTAAATGTTAAGAAGCCCTGAGACACAGTTTTGTGAAAAAAAGACCTGCAGCCCCACGGGCGGGGGCCTTCGGCCTAAACAGGTTAATAATAAATGTGATTGAGCGCAAAGTTTCAGCATACAATCTTTTCTAGTTCTTTTGTCAAATGATACCATCTGTTTGTCTGTGCATGTTTGGGTTGGTCAATCAGTCAGATATATTGAGATGTAGATAAGTGACGCCATCTGTCTTAAAATATAATCAGATTGTTATCATGGTTTTGTGGTTTATTGTTTTGAAGAAGAAAAATAAACAACAAACTGATAAAACTGGAAATTAGTCGATAGAAATGCGCTGAACAAAACCACTCTGACAGTTAACATATCAGCTGAACTCTGACCTGAGAGTCTCCAGGTCACAGTGTGGACTCTCCAGTCCAGCAGATACCAGCTTCATTCCTGAATCCAGCAGGTCGTTGTTACTCAGGTCCAGCTCTCTCAGACTAGAGGACTGGGAGCTGAGGACTGAGGACAGAGCTGCACAGCTTCTCTCTGACAGGTTACAGCCACTCAGCCTGGGGAAAGATCAGCAGTGAACACAAAGAGTTATATTATCATGTCTCAAACTGTTCCTAGTTAATGTAGTTTTATCTCCACTTACAGAGCTTTCCTGGAGGCTTTGACCACTGGCAGCAGCTTCAGAAGAGCCTCCTCTGAAGCAGAGTATTTCTTCAGGTCAAACACGTCCAGATCTTCTTTTGATGACAGTAAGATGAAGACCAGAGCCGACCACTGAGCAAGAGACAGATCCTCTGTGGAGAGACTGCCTGAACTCAGGGACTGTTGGATCTCCTCCACCAGAGAATGATCATTCAGTTCATTCAGACAGTGGAACAGGTTGATGCTTTTCTCCGGAGACGGGTTCTTTCTTATCTTTTTCTTGATATATTTCACTGTTTTCTGGTTGGTCTGTGAGCTACTTCCTGTCTGTGTCAGCAGGTCTTGTAATAAGGTCTGATTTGTCTCCAGTGAAAGACCCAGGAGGAAGCGGAGGAACAAGTCCAGGTGTCCGTTTGAACTATGTAAGGCCTTGTGCACAGCACTCTGGTAGAGATGTTTAGGTTTTCGTCTGAAGACTTTAGACCACCAGGGGGCCATCAGGTTGTCTCCAGAGTTGATGAAGGTCAGATGGACATGAAGAGCAGCCAGAAACTCCTGAACGCTCAGATGGACGAAGCAGAACACTGTGTTCTTGTACGTTCCTCTCTCCTCTCTAAAGACCTGTGTGAACACTCCTGAGTACACTGAGGCTGCTCTGATATCGATGCCACACTCTCTCAGGTTGGACTCATAGAAGATCAGGTTGCCTTTCTGCAGCTGCTCAAAAGCCAGTTTTCCCAGAGACTCCATCATCTTCCTGCTCTCTGGACTCCAGTTTAGACCTGTCTTAACTCCTTCATCATACTTGACGTTCACTTTGGACAGAATCACCAGGAAGTGGATGTACATCTCAGTCAGGGTCTTGGGCAGCTCTCCTCCCTCAGTTTTCAACATGTGGTCCAGAACTGAAGCAGAGATCCAGCAGAAGACTGGGATGTGGCACATGATGTGGAGGCTTCGGGAGGTCTTGATGTGGGAGATGATGGTGCCGGCCTGCTCCTGATCTCTGAACCTCTTCCTGAAGTACTCCTCCTTCTGTGGGTCAGTGAACCCTCGGACCTCTGTCACCATGTCCACATACTCAGTGATCTGATAGGCTGCTGCAGGTCGTGTGGTTATCCAGAGGCGAGCAGAGGGAAGCAGCTTCCCCTTGATGAGGTTTGTCAGCAGCCGATCCACTGAGGTGGACTTTCTGATATCAGTCAGGATGTCAGTGTTGTGGAATTTCAGAGGAAGTCGACACTCATCCAGACCGTCAAAGATGAACACAACCTTGAACTGATCAAACCTGCAGATTCCTGCCTCTCTGGTTTCAGAGAAGAAGTGATGAACAAGTTCCACCAAGCTGTACTTGTTCTCTCTCACCACATTCAGCTCTCTGAAAGGTAATGGAAATATGAACTGGATGTCCTGGTTGGCTTTGCCTTCAGCCCAGTCCAGAGTGAACTTCTGTGTTAAGACTGTTTTCCCAATGCCAGCCACTCCCTTTGTCATCACTGCTCTGATTGGTTTACCTCTTTCAGTTGAGCCTTTAAAGAGGTCTTCTTGTCTGATGGGTGTTTCTGATCTGTCTGGTTTACTGGATGCTTGTTCGATCTGTCTGATCTCATGTTCCTTGTTGACCTCTCCGGTGTCTCCCTTGGTGATGTAGATCTCCGTGTAGATTTCATGTAGGGGTTCGGATTTTTCCATAAATTTGATATTTTCATATGTTTTCTTCAGGTTTGATTTGAGTTCACCTTGGCACTTTGTGAGAATATCTGAATGAATAAGAAAGACATTTACATTAAAGACACATCAAAATGTTTCCTTCTAATTGGACCCATTTCTGACAAAATAGCAAGTTATTTTCCTTATGTCAAGTCACTGGATATTGTTGCATAATTATCTGTACATTGTCCAGTATAAGTTCCACCCCACAGAGAACCATCAGTTTTCCCACAGAGAACCATGGCCCTGAACCTGACTGACTCTTATTCCTGCTGCTGGGAGATGAGGCACGATACCAGCAGATCCCAGCACCCACTGAGGGTGTGGACACAGCTCTCTCTCCAGTTATACAAGAAGTGGATGGCTCTTAGTGAGTCGCAGTATACTCCTGCAGTAGCCTACCATCTACAACACACCCTGGGGGGTCACAGTAATAACCCGTCCCTTTCTCCCCAAGTCATGTTGGACGGCAAATGATACCTCCTTCCACCTGTAGGGGGCTGGGCCATTAGTCATGAGTAGGACATAATCTGCAGTGAGCAATCCCAGTGAGGCTGAGCAATGTGCTCCTCTGGGGCCTCATTTATAAAGGGATATACGCTCAAAAAATGGCGTACGCCAGTTTCTACGCAATGTTTGCGATTTATAAAATACTAACTTGACGGGAAAATGTGCGGTCCTCCACGCAAACTCTAACCCATGCGTACGCACTAAGCACACAAACGGGAGAGACGAGAAACTGCGACACCGTTGGCAGAAGGAAGAATGGAGAGAAATATGTGGAAATAATACCATAAATAAAATGTTACCTCTCATTTATCAAATATGAAGAATTACTTTTCAAACATTGATTAAAGCCAATCTTAAAATGATGAAACAAACGCCTGTTTGAGACTCCTCAGTGCACACAAACACATAAATTGGAGAAATAAATAAATATGGATATGCTATTTAAAACCACCTCGAATATGTTGTGTTAATGTTATGAAATGTTTTCTCATAAATGATGCGGTAAGCAGGAGGACAGAATTACGTCTAAACTGACGCCGTTTTGCATTTCTATAGGTTGTAGATACGAGCATGGTTTTATATACTATCACGTTTAATCGTGTTTTATACTGTTTGCCAAGACTTGATAAGCTGCTTGTAAAACCCAGGAGGTATGGAAACTAAGAACACCATATGTGGTAAACAGCTAATATAACACAACACATTAGTAGTAGTACATATCCCGCTTCAATCTCATTAGTATGCATAAAAAAGTGACAGGTCACACCTTCTAAGTCCCGCCCCCTAATTATGTTAATGACCCCCCTTTGATATGCTAATGAGCCCCTTTGTTCGAGGTGTTATCGCGTACAGGTGTTACATCCTCACCGGTAGCCCCCACCCCCCTCAGCCCACCCCCCTCCCCCTCACATACAGGTGTTACATCCTCTCAGGTAGCCCCCCACCCCACTCAGCCCCCACCCCTCTCAACCCACCCCCTCCTTACAGCAGGTTTCACATCCTCCCTGTCGCCCCCCATCCCCTCCTCAGCCCCCACCCCTCTCAACCCCCTCCTCCTCCCCCCTCCTGTCCGGTCGGCATGTTCGTTACAGTTTAAATCTTCCGTGGCAAAATTAGAAAAGTGCCGGCTAAAGGTCTTCTATGTTATTTAATGAGCTTTGAAACAAACTGATATGATTCGATATTAAACCAACTAATTATAGTAGATTAATTAACTATTCAAAACGTGTACAGTAATTTACAATAACACGGGAATAATAAACGGACTGCTCTCCCCCCTCCTGACAACACGCCAGTATCATGCAGCTCGCGGGTCCAATAATGAGTGACTCGACAGTAAAACTAAAACAAACTTTAACTAGTTTAGGTAGTTTGAGAGGTAATTAAAATAGCTACGTGTGTTATCTACGAGTGTGTTTTGTTCCGCTCACCGCATGCAGAGATGCATGTCGAATAGTCCGCAGCACCGGGGTCTCCCTCCGTCAGCAACAGCGGGTATCCCCCGTCAGATTAGACGTTACTAGCGTTTATGTCCATGCATAATCAGCCCCTATAGGACATCTTTTGTCTGTCACACACTATTCTTGTATGTCACATAAGAGGTGCAACTGATGCGGTATTGCGCTAAAGGGGATATCATTCTGGCCGGAGAGATTTCCATCCACACACACACACACACACACACACACACACACACACACACACACACACACACACACACACACACACACACACACACACACACACACACACACACCCATACCCGTATTCCCCTCCTACCCCGCCTTTTAAAAAAAAAATAAGAGTTGGGTTAATAACTAAGGAGGCTCTCTTGAAGTGTACGGATGGTGAACTAATGTTTAATTACTATACTAACTATAAGGGCCTCTCTTTGTTGAAAGGAGGGGTAATCTGGTAATAAATGCAACAAAGTCTCTCTGAAGAGGTTGGCAATAAATTAAAGATCTTAATGACCCCATGGCGTTTGTTTTTTTTCTTTATGTTTAATTACATCAAATCCACTAATAAAATAATCCCTATATGAAGTTATATGTGTCATCTTTCCTGAAACTGAAGTGCTGTCCGTTTTACAAACAAGTTATCTTTCTGCTTCTTCACCCCGAATTTTCCTCCCCCGTCCCTATTACTTCAGCCATCACATCAAGTCAGATCTGTGAAATTAAACACCTCTTCTCAAAGCGTGACTTCCCTATTGGGGGAGTGGGGCAGTAGGGCCTAACCCGATTTGGCCAAATATACTAACATGCAGAACATATGGTATGTTTTGAAAAAAGACTAACCATCTATCCAGTTCAAGCTGTCTTTAAGATGTGACATTGCGCTCTGACTTTTTCCCGTAAAATCGTGACAAACTATTACTTATTAAATTTGACCTCATACTGCTTGGTTGAAAATGATAGATGAGCATTTTACCAACAGATCAACGCGCAATCAACCCATACAGGACATCTCTTTCTACACATTATGTGTTATCACTATAATATCATGTCATTATTTAATGTTGTTTTGTTTGTGTGTGTGTGTGTACAACGAAGTCTCTTTGAGAGGAAAATTATAATTTAAAGATCTTATTACCCCCTTATTGTTTAACTACTTCACACAACTATTAAAGAATCCCCATATGAAGTTACATGAGGCTACATTTACTGGTGTGCTTCCCTAGATGATGTAAATAGTCTAAGTGTCATGTTAGGGGGGCATTACGGACCTCAGGAGTCCGCCCTTGGAGGCTTGGAGAGCGGATAAAGAGAGGTGTAGAACTAACAAAAAAGAATTAAGTATTTGCAATGCATAAACATAGAAGTTATTACTGTCATATTATGATCACTTAATGTAAGTAAGTTTAAGTAAAACTAACACAAGTCAATATTATTCACCTAGGCATTAGTGGGCTTGAGGGTCTCAGGGAGCGTGGACAAAGTGACTTGTCTCTGTATTTGAGGATTCTCAGTGCAGGCACTAACAGGAAGCTGCTGTGCATTAGTGGAGAGTCCTCTGAAGGCAGCTGTTATTTCATTCACACACTCATCTGTTACCTGCTGACTCCTCATAGTAAGTCTAGCCAAGTCAGCTGTTAAGTTGTCCATACCATCGCTTGATAACTGGTAACTTTTGATTGACAGTCCAGCCATGGCAGCTGCCAACTCGTCCATATAATTCTTAAGAACGTGGTGACAATACTACAAAAAAGTATATATATTAGGTCAGTTAACCTTGAAGAGCTAAACAGTTCAAGTGGTAAGTAACTAAGTATTTGCAATGAATAAACATAGAAATTATCACTGTCATATTATATAATCACTTAATATGGAGATAAGTAAAACTGACACAGACAGTTTAAACTGCTTGTTAAAACGCTATTGCTTATTGTGTTTTCTCAGCACACTAACATAAATAAGGATGTATAATATAAAAAACTAGAAAACGATATAGTATTTTCAAGTCTTACTTTAGTATGGTAAAATTAAGAATAAGTCACATTAAAGTGTGTCATGATTTTCCGTAAAAAAGTCAAGTATAGTTTGTCAAAAGAATATGAAAAAATCATTTTGTAGAGTAGTATGTTGAAAATCTCAGTGTTTAACTGAACACACCTACATGTGATAACGCCTCGAACAAAGGGGTAATTAGCATACAAAGGGGGGTCACTAGCATCAGTGGGGGAAAGGTGCTACGGGAATGAACTTTGAGGAGGGGGAACTTGTAAGAATGTCCAGCTTTTGAAGACAATTATGTGGTACCCGTCCTTACAGCTAAACAAATCCTATGCCAGGTATTGAACAGACCACAAGAAGCACAAGAAGCCCCAGAAAGGATTACATTCAGAGCTAATAATGGTGAAACCGAAGAAGAAGCAAAGCAGATTATAATCGTTGCGGGTGAAAGGATAGAGAATTTGCAAGTGATGTTAATGCACTTATCTGATATAAAAAATGCATTCATTTACTTCCAAGAGACCCCTAAACATCTAGTTGGGGAATGTGAATTGAACGATAAACCGATCACTGTAAATGAAACGCGGAGAGAGGCAGCAGTGCAAATCGTTAAGTCTATTACCTTGTATGCACTACGACATTAACTTGGTCAAATGTAATATGTCTTTCCGAAGATGTGGCGAATGGTGTGTTTTTCAATTAAAGTAATAGTATTAACTCCTCTGACTAGACTGTACTAAAATAAGACGTTTCACTGTTAAATAAAAATGGAAGTAGAAAATCGAGATAATGATGAGGCTCGTTATGTATCCAGTAACTATGAACAGCAGTTTGAAAATGTTATTTAACCCTTTAACTCTAATTGACAAATCTAAAATAGCCTCTAGCTTATCTATAAGTTTGTGATTTTAACACTTATTCACTGACACAAGGCAGATTATGGCTTTTTTCTCTTGCCAAGATACTTTTAGACACACTCTGAGGTATGCAAAACCTTAAAACTAGAAAATGAAGTACATTGTCTGATTAGATTTTTTCGTAAAGACTGTTTCTCTAAAAGGCAAGTTTGTGATTTTTAACACTTATTTACTGACACAAGGCAGATTTTGACTTTTTTCTCTTTTCATGTGTTACCAAGATACTTTTTAGATACACTTTTATGTATGCAACACTTAACAAAGGGGTATAATATGAAGTACTTTGTAAGGGAATGGGGGTTTCTTTAATACCCCTTTTTTTATTTCTAAAAAACACTTGTACAGTTAAATAATGTAGGTTTTTCTCTGATATTCTAGTTATTTTCAGCCACCAAGATACTTTTGTTGATACACTTTTATGTAGGAACATTTGGCAACTGGTAGAATGTCAATTATTTTGTAACAAAAATGTATTTTCTTAAAGACTGTGACTCTAAAAGGGAAGTTGGTGGTTTTAACACTTATTCACTGACACAAGGCACATTATGGCTTTTTTCTCTTGCCAAGATACTTTTAGACACACTCTGAGGTATGCAAAACCTTAAAACTAGAAAATGAAGTACATTGTCTGATTAGATTTTTTCGTAAAGACTGTTTCTCTAAAAGGCAAGTTTGTGATTTTTAACACTTATTTACTGACACAAGGCAGATTTTGACTTTTTTTTTCTCTTTTCATGTGTTACCAAGATACTTTTTAGATACACTTTTATGTATGCAACACTTAACAAAGGGGTATAATATGAAGTACTTTGTAAGGGAATGGGGGTTTCTTTAATACCCCTTTTTTTTATTTCTAAAAAACACTTGTACAGTTAAATAATGTAGGTTTTCTCTGATATTCTAGTTATTTTCAGCTACCAAGATATTTTTGTTGATACACTTTTATGTAGGAACATTTGGCAACTGGTAGAATGTCAATTATTTTGTAACAAAAATGTATTTTCTTAAAGACTGTGACTCTAAAAGGGAAGTTGGTGATTTTAACACTTCTATTTTCCCCCCGTTGTCTTTCACTTACTGTTTTGATACAGTTTTATGTATGACAACTTTACAACTGGTAGAAAGTTAAGTACTTTTTCTTTCATATTATTTTAACACAACATTACTTTTTTCATATTTTTCAACATACTGTGATATATATATATATATATATTTTTTTTTCCTCTCCATTATATTTTTGAATATACAGCAAACTCCTGGACTACTATCGTCACCACCATTGTGGACACCCACATATTGCAGTACTACTGCTGCTGATGTTACTCCTGGGGCCAAGACGTCTCTGTTTCTGAACATAGTGAAATCGGAGTTGGTTGATATTCTGGAGAGGGTACTGCATCGGTACAGAGAAGAAATCTGCAATGGATGTCGAGTCAGCCACCCCAGCCAGAGGCAACACGATTGTCTGAATGACATTCCAGAATATGTCTTCAGAAACAATTACAACGCGTTAATGAAAAGACTTTGGCTCGCCGACTTCATTACTGTGATTGACCAGAGGCTTAATGATAAAAACATTTACACGGCTGAATGGAGGATCCAAGGCGCTTCGGAGGCTTTTATGCACAATCTCAAAAACTGCAGACGCCTCAAGGAGAGACTTGAAAAGATCCATGCCGAGCTGGATGGAGAAGAAGAAGACTAATAACCAGCGGTTGATTGAAGCCAGGGATTTTTATTTTATTTTTTTTCCGATACTTTGACTTTTCTTTAAAGTAAAAAATAATAAAAAAAAAAAAAAAGGGATAACTACTATGGAAAACAATCTGTATATATTTATCAGAATGCAGTCAAAACCTGTTTAATAAGTGTGTTGTTGATGACGATTGAAAACAGAATGAGTAGTGACCCCCGTGTAAACAGAATGGCTGAAGTTTGTAAACTAGAAGACATTTTGGATATCGTTCATTCTGGCAGTACTATTCCGGGTCATGGGGAAACGATTACAAACGAAACATTTAAAGTGGTACTGGAATCTTCATTTTCCGAAACATTCTGTAACATTAGTCAAGTCATAGTATAGTTTGACAAAAAGATCTTGAAAAAGTCATGACATTGTGTGTTGAAATGGTTTTGAATAAACACATCAGTATTTAAAAAAGTAAAATTGTATCAAGTGCATCAGACAACTCAAATTACTCCATTTGAACCATATTATAAATAAGTAAAGAATGGTCATAGTATATAGCAGGGCTGTTTAATAGTTTTCTGTGTTCTGTGTTTTGTGTGTCAGTGTTGCATTGTTTCAGTATTTCAGTGTTTCAGTGTTCTGTGTTTCAGTGTTGCAGTGTTTCAGTGTTTTGGGTGTCAGTGTGTCAGTGTTGCAGTGTTGCAGTGTTTCAGTGTTTTCTGTGTCAGTATTTCAGTGTGTCAGTGTTTCAGTGTTTCAGTGTTTTCAGTGTTTTCAGTGTTTTGTGTTTCAGTGTTTCAGTGTGTCAGTGTCTCAGTGTTTCAGTGTGTTTGTGTTTCAGTGTTTTCAGTGTTTTGTGTTTCAGTGTTTCAGTGTTTTTGTGTTTTTGTGTTTCTGTGTTTCTGTGTTTCTGTGTTTTTGTGTTACAGTGTTTCAGTGTTTTCAGTGTTTTGTGTTTCAGTGTTTCAGTGTTTTTTGTGTTTCAGTGTTTTTTGTGTGTCAGTGTTTTCAGTGTGTCAGTGTTTCAGTGTTGCAGTGTTTCAGTGTTTTCAGTGTTTTGTGTTTGGGATCTTCTTCAAAACGTCTCTGGTCACTTTAATGGTGTTTATGTCGTAGTCCCGAAGCATCAGATCCACTGTGTCCCCTCGGTCTGCTTTCTCTAGTTCACTCTTTGGGATTCCTGGGAATCCTAGGACCTTCCCCTCCAGGTACCACTTGAAGTCTTTAAACTCATTTTCCCCCAAATCTTTTAAAGTTTTGAATAGGACTTCTCTAGGTGTCTTCATATTTTCTCCCTGCAGAGCAAAGATACAGAGAAAGAACATCTTTATCTTACAGAACTATATATTGTTGTATTGTATTTTTGTACAGCTGCCATGTGACTTTGGATGGCTTCAATTCAGATGTCGAGTTAGTAAATGCCCTAATCGGTTCTAAACTTGTTTTAATACCTTAGACTTCACGAAAGACATTCAGGAAGTCAATCCTAAACTTGAAGACAATCAGCACAGTCAGTTCTGTCTTTTCCTTTAATGTCTTGGTTTGGTAACCTGTCTTTAAAGAGCAGAAACTGTCTCAGTCAGATCATAAAGTGGTCTAGCAGACTGATTGGTGAGTCTCAGCTAAACCTGGAGCCCCTGCTCATCAGACAGTTACAGAGGCTGTCTAACTCCATGTTCAATGAAGACTCCCACCCCCTGCAAGCTGAGCTTCAGCTTCTTCCTTCGGGCCGGAGGTTAATCTTCCTAAAGGTGTAGAACCAAGAGGTTTAAAAACAGCTTTGTGGATGTTCTGGAGCCAGAGGGACTTTTTAAAGATGTGTCTGTTGTCTATATTGTATGAAGCATGTGGCACAATGGATACCTTTTCTTACTTCTGCAAACCAAGTTGACCTACTGCTACAAATAAGTACCATGAGAGAAATAAGAGAGTGACTCAGCCGGCGACCACACACCTGGTTCTGGTCTCTGCCAGTAAGCTGGTTACTGGACACAGAGCTGGGTCCAGGTCACGGTCCCGGTCCAGGTCCAGGTCCAGGTCCAGGTCCAGGTCCAGGTCCAGGTCCAGGTCCAGCAGGATGTGGTGTTTGCTCTGGGCTGGAACACAACACACAGAGCTTTGAGTGAGTAACGAGTGCTGAGCTGTGACATGGAGAAGAGTCATGGACAGGTGGAGATCTCACCTCTGAGCTTTGGTCTGGCTGTCATGTTCCCCAGAGCTTTTAGAGGGGGGGGGCTTCCTCCTCTCTGTCCTCACACTGATCCATAGCAGAGCCTCCACCTGCACACACAAACAGTCACTTCAATGTACATCCACAGGTAATGTACAGCCCTGCCCCCCACAAAATATCCCACACAACTGAACTGCCCTCAGTAACCATTCAACAAAACGTATTTGTTAGGTTTAAAAAATATATAATTGTTTGGCTTAAAATATGTACGTTAATTACATGAAAGCAGTTACGGACTTTAAAGTGGACCTATCATGCTATATTATAATAATATAGTGTAGGACCATACCTATATAAGGCATATTTATACTTTTTTTTCTTCAATACCAAACAGATCATGCATTTTAGCCATGCCTCATTTCGCTCAATTTGACATTTTTTAGCTCTGTTTTTGCAAGGGCAGATTCTGTGAGAACAGCACCACCTACAGGCCTGGCATATGTACTACAGCGTCTCCAGCGCTTTCGAACGGCAATGGCCGTGGCTGTCTCCTCCTGATTGGTGGAGTTGGCCCAATAGCCGTAGCGCCACCGTCCTGACGTCAGGACAGTGTTCAAATCTGGATCAGTTTTTATCAGATCCGTTGCAGCCCCTTTTTTAGAGATTTGGGTATGGAGGAAAATAGAGAGCGTTGTGTTTTCTGACACTTGGTGAGTTCCCTGGAACACCGGGGACACATATTCATGTAGAAAAGACGTACAAAAGTGCATTTTGCATGATAGGTCCCCTTTAAGAAAAACGAGGTCTTTTGTGAACTGATAAGAAATGTGTTTTTGATATATCATTGAAAATAGGAAAAACAAGTTCCCTCATAACTAAGTTACAATGAGGTTCAAATCTAGGGGAAGAATATTTTTGACAAACATTTGACATTTTCAAGGCTCTTCAGTAAAACCAGGTCAGTGTTGGAAGATGGGCCCTTCACACCCCTTCCCTTATTCAGATTATTAAGAGTTAGACATAAAATCAGTCACGACTTGTTAGACGGGTTCTGACACGCCCTGCATTTTGCTCTGATGAAGAGAACTCAGAGAACAATCAGACTGCAACTCATTCTACCTGAAACACTGACAACAGTACATGGAGATCTTTCTAAACTCATTCTGCTTTCACTCAGAGAGAAACCCTACACAATATTTCAGACAGATGTTCAAACAGACCCTGGGTATGTTTGAGTTATTTTAACAAACACTAACAAACGAGATCTCGCTAAGTGGTCCTACGACGCTGGTTATCAACTCAGTAAATCAACCAGGGTTTCACAAACATGGACAAGCGTACTGACAGCGCAGCGTCATACTTCATGATTGAATAGTAAACTATCATGTTAGACAAATATGAAGACGTTCAACTTTTAACATCCATGACTTAAACACTTTATCCAGGATCAAAGCCACATAGCTGCACCTGCAAGGTGAATACAGAACAGCTGGTAAAAAAAAAACTACCAAGTGTTTGAATGCGTTCATTAACAATTTTATGATATCACTGCCTGTCTACTCACAGACTCTCTTCAGGTCTACTCACAGACTCTCTTCAGGTCTACTCACAGACTCTCTTCAGGTGAGGAGGAAACTCTGCTCATTTCTTCCTCTTCAGTACTGAGTCTGCCTGCATCTGATCTGAGGACGCCTTCACACCCTCAGAAATCCAGAGAGTAAAAACACGTCAGAGTCACGTGGAAACCGGCCTTACAGGTTGTAGCTGTCATTCTGCCAGACTCTCCCTCACCTTCCTGATTCAGACTATTAAGAGTTAGACATAAAAACAGTCACGACTTGTTAGACCGGTTCTGACACGCCCTGCATTTTTCTCTGATGACGAGAACTCAGAGAACAATCAGACTGCAACTCATTCTGCCTGAAACACTGACAACAGTACATGGAGATCTTTCTAAACCCATTCTGCTTTCACTCAGAGAGAAACCCTACACAATATTTCAGACAGATGTTCAAACAGACCCTGGGTATGTTTGAGTTATTTTAACAAACACTAACAAACGAGATCTCGCTAAGTGGTCCTACGACGCTGGTTATCAACTCAGTAAATCAACCAGGGTTTCACAAACATGGACAAGCGTACTGACAGCGCAGCGTCATACTTCATGATTGAATAGTAAACTATCATGTTAGACAAATATGAAGACGTTCAACTTTTAACATCCATGACTTAAACACTTTATCCAGGATCAAAGCCACATAGCTGTACCTGCAAGGTGAATACAGAACAGCTGGTAAAAAAAAAACTACCAAGTGTTTGAATGCGTTCATTAACAATTTTATGATATCACTGCCTGTCTACTCACAGACTCTCTTCAGGTCTACTCACAGACTCTCTTCAGGTCTGCTCACAGACTCTCTTCAGGTGAGGAGGAAACTCTGCTCATCTCTTCCTCTTCTGTCCTGAGTCTGCCTGCATCTGATCTGAGGACGCCTTCACACCCTCAGAAATCCAGAGAGTAAAAACACATCAGAGTCACGTGGAAACCGCCCTTACAGGATGTAGCTGTCAGCCTGCCAGACTCTCCCTCACCTGCATGATTCAGACTATTAAGAGTTAGACAAAAACAGTCACAACTTGTTAGAGCGGGTTCTGACACGCCCTGCATTTTTCTCTGATGACGAGAACTCAGATAACAATCAGACTGCAACTATATCTACCTGAAACACTGACAACACTACATGGAGATCTTTCTAAACTCATTCTGCTTTCACTCAGAGAGAAACCATACACAATATTTCAGACAGATGTTTAGAATCAGCATCAAGAAACATGTGTCCTGTTCAGTGTTGGGCAAGTTAAATGTAATACAGTACATATTACTTATTACTGTCTCTTTTAAGTAATACGTTACATTACAATATTACTGTCTCTGAAATGTAATGAGTCACACTACTTTTGTCACACTACCAGCTGCTCTTGCAGTAATAAGTAGCACCTTTCTTACTGTCCTAATGTGCACAATGTAGTGACTGCTTTTTCCTCTTTTGTTTTCTTAGTTGTGTTCTCTGTATTTCATATGTCTGTGTTCTGTGTTCTGTGTAACGTTGCTGCCTTCTTGGCCAGGTCAGCTTTGAAAATGAGATTTTATCTCAATGCTTTTATCTGGTTAAATAAAGGTTAAATACAAATAAAAAAAAATGTTATATTACTTTTGAGTTGCTTTCACCAAAATAACCGCAAAAGAATGGCGCGGTATTTTAAATGCTAAAATGTAGTTTAGTGCAGCTCATTATACATCCAGTGAAAGGCAATGTGGTATAGCATAACAACTGTGTAGGCCCTTAAGGCTACCAACAACTTTTATTACACGGCTTAGTTGAATACTCGATTCTGATTGGTCAATTCAGAACACGTGACACGTTGTTAATACAGTAGTACAGACTGCTGTCAAGGACTATAAAGACCGTTGCTAAGGATGATCAAGAAAGAGAAAGGAAAAGAGGTTAAAAGACAGAGCGCTGGACGTCAGATAAATCACCAGAAGAAGACAGACAGGAAGTAAACACTAACAGGAACACTGTATGAACTACAGACAGGAAGTAAACACTAACATGAACACAGTATGGACTACAGACAGGAAGTAAACACTAACATGAACACAGTATGGACTACAGACAGGAAGTAAACACTAACATGAACACAGTATGGACTACAGACAGGAAGTAAACACTAACAGGAACACTGTATGGACTACAGACAGGAAGTAAACACTAACATGAACACTGTATGGACTACAGACAGGAAGTAAACACTAACAGGAACACAGTATGGACTACAGACAGGAAGTAAACACTAACATGAACACAGTATGGACTACAGACAGGAAGTAAACACTAACATGAACACTGTATGGACTACAGACAGGAAGTAAACACTAACAGGAACACAGTATGGACTACAGACAGGAAGTAAACACTAACATGAACACTGTATGGACTACAGACAGGAAGTAAACACTAACAGGAACACAGTATGGACTACAGACAGGAAGTAAACACTAACAGGAACACAGTATGGACTACAGACAGGAAGTAAACACTAACAGGAACACTGTATGGACTACAGACAGGAAGTAAACACTAACATGAACACAGTATGGACTACAGACAGGAAGTACACACTAACAGGAACACTGTATGGACTACAGACAGGAAGTAAACACTAACAGGAACACAGTATGGACTACAGACAGGAAGTAAACACTAACATGAACACTGTATGGACTACAGACAGGAAGTAAACACTAACATGAACACAGTATGGACTACAGACAGGAAGTAAACACTAACATGAACACAGTATGGACTACAGACAGGAAGTAAACACTAACATGAACACAGTATGGACTACAGACAGGAAGTAAACACTAACAGGAACACTGTATGGACTACAGACAGGAAGTAAACACTAACAGGAACACTGTATGGACTACAGACAGGAAGTAAACACTAACAGGAACACTGTATGGACTACAGACAGGAAGTAAACACTAACATGAACACAGTATGGACTACAGACAGGAAGTAAACACTAACATGAACACTGTATGGACTACAGACAGGAAGTAAACACTAACAGCAACACTGTATGGACTACAGACAGGAAGTAAACACTAACAGCAACACTGTATGGACTACAGACAGGAAGTAAACACTAACAGGAATGTTAATGTTTTTAAAGCTCGGTTGGATGCTTCTCAATCGGAAGCTGTTGGTACCTGTGCATGTGGATAGTTATGTAAATTGTAATCCCTGTAATGCTACTGTATGATGTCCTTTTGTTGCTCTGTTATGTTTTTAATGTTTCATGTGGAACCTACTTGACCAAAGGCCTGTACTACGAAGCTGGATTTTCGCTTAGCCGGCTAAATTCAGGGAAGTCTCGGGCTTTCCGGTCCTACGACGCTGGTTCTCTTTTTAGCAGGCTAGATTTCCATGGTAACGTATGCTGAGCGGCAAACCTGCTCAGGAGCAGGTTAGGTGGGCACCCCTATGCTATCCTTGTACACTGTGGAGCCTAAACTCCCTCCTTTGACTGGTCTCTTAGCCCTACTGGTTTTGGGGTGTTTCGCCATGTTGATTAACCGCCCCACTGTCATTGGTACTGCATATAAAACATCACTGGCTGTACCAGTGCACAGGTCCCAGTCCAATCCTGTGGCAAGACTGCGTACAAGGTTTTAGTTCCATGATACCATCAAACATCTACTCTGGGATACGGCATTTCAGACAGTCATTTCTGGGAGAAGATTTTGGTCAGTTACAACAATTGGAGAATTTCATCACTTATGGTTCCTACTTCATTACCTTTTGGTGGTCTGTTCTAATGCAGTGATAAAGTTCCTTAAATGGTGTGAAAACCGGTGGAATATCAATAACTCATTTCACTAATTTATCTTCAATTCTAGTCTGTTTAAAGAACTATGCTAACCCCTTTAACAGTGTGTGGAACCTTGGGTGTCCGAGCATGTAACAGTTACTCCCTCCTTTATCAAGGATTTTAAAAACAGTAGTTATTTCATCAATGGTTTGTAGTTCAATTTAGGAATTTTCACTTATGGCGGATATGTTTCTACTTTAAATAACATCTCTAAATTTCAGGTCATCCCTGATTAAATGGATGACCATCAGGAGGTGGTGGCGCTTGTCTTTTAAACTCATAATTTGGTGCTGTGTGCTCCCTGTGAAGCTACAAGTAAGATTTAAAACAACTGCTGGGTGGGTTGAGTGACCCCTTCTCTCTAAACGATATGGGTTGTCAAAAATATGCATCATTGCAATGAGTGATCCAAGGCCCCGCATGTATTACTCCCAATTATATTGCTTTTTCCAAAATTAAATTTGCCATCGCTCTTTGCCCAGTGTCCTTTAAAACTCTACATCTTGGACAAACAAATATTATTTCCACCTTAACAGTTATCCTATGGTAATAACTATGCTACAATGGTGAAAACAATACTTTAGATTGGGATACTATATTTGGCTTGGTATTAGCTCTCCCTTTAACATCGTCCAACTAACACAGATTTGTCTGCTCTTATAGAGTGGTCACTAAAACTATCCCTTTAGCTGTAGATCAATATTGTAACACATTAGATCTCTACCAAATTCACCCATGAATAAAATGTCTTAGGGAATAATTTGTTTACATGATGGAAAGATTGAAGAATATGTTCTACTCTGTACTCCTAAGTCCCAAAACACTCACTGCTTAAAGTGTAAAGTGTGGTGAATATTTCCATCATGTCTACCCCTTTATCTCACAGTACCCTCAGTGTGTTTTAGGATTAATTCCTCATTTTACTTTAACAGTTTCCTCTTTATTACTATTTTAATTTACCAATTTATTAATTCATGGCTAATAAATCTTTTTGTCTTTACGTATTTATCAAGTCAATTCAAGTTTGTTTGTGAATAAGTGTGTTTATGTATAAACTCACTCACTCCCGTTTTCCTTTTCTCCTCCTCTTGTTGTCTCAAGCCACGACCCCCTCACATTCTGTTAGACCATGCCAACTCCTCTGGTTCTGTCTTCTCCTCTGGTTCTGTCTTCTCCTCAGGGTCTGTCTTCTCCTCAGTCCACCAGCTCTTGAATCCTTCCGCTGGTACTCTTTTCAGTGGCCCAACTGCTTTGCATTTCATCTCCTTCTTTACAGTCTCTTCGCTGTTGTATGGAGGGCGTATTCTGCTTTCATGTCCCACACTCTGCTCTTATGCCAAA